CTTGTTTCCTGTAACATATACACACCTACAAGACATCTCTAGAGATTTACACCCTCAATGTTTTGTCCTTTATAACACCATTTTTCTGAAGAGCGAAGTCGACCGCCTTTTCGAAATGCCATTACAGTAAACTACGGTTATAACGAACTCAAAGGGACCAAAAAACAGTTCGGTATATCCGCCATTTCGTTATAAGCGTGTTCGTAAACTTCGATTAGAGTAGTGTTAAATGTTTATACAGTTCATGTGCTCAAAACCCATTTACAATTTAAAATGCATTCATTTTGCTCTTAGACAAGATTCTATTTTTTACTAAGGCTACAAAACAAAGTAATTATTACTAAATACGTATGTCACTGATCGTATTTGATCATTTAGATAATGCAGAGTGAAAAAAACGTAATGAAAAATATAACATAAAAACGAAATCACATTTACACTGAAAACATTTTGCCATTCAGAAATCGATTGTCTATATATTGTGTATAGATCTGTCTGTTTGTTATTTAACGTCGCACTCAGCAATATTCCAACTATATGACTGCGGTCTAGAAATAATCGAGTCTTGCCCAGATAATCCAGTGATTGATATCATGTGCATTGATCCACGCAATTGGGATACGATGACATGCATCGACTAAGCCAGCCTGACCACCTGATCCCGTTAGTCGCCTCTTATGACAAGCATAGTCGCCTTTTACAGCAAGCCTGGGTTGCTGAAGACCTATTCTACCCCGGATCTTCACGTGTCGTGTGTAGATCTAATTTCTTTTACTGTTTATGTTATACATTACTATGCCAGATTCTAATAAAAATGGTTATACAATTAACAAGATTGTTTAATATTGGATCCAGTTTGACAGCTTTCTCACAGTAAAACATTCCATTCCCTTACTCAACTATATGCACATTATTTCCATGGAAATATCATGGAAATTCCATATCATGCATTCAAACAGATATGTAAAGCACGTGTCAACATACCAAAATTAGAAAACTGCGCCAAATATTCTAACAGTCAAGGGGTAAACGGTCTCATTCACTTGTTGGTCGCCGTGGAAATCGTGACGTCATCCACGTCAAAAGACCCAAGGTAAAATCACGCGCACCTGTCCAGACGACAAATTCACAGCGGCGGGAAATCACCGACCATCTATTAGCCTACAGTACATCAATAAAAATTGCAGATTGTAAGGTCATTGAACGAAAACAAATAATGCGTTTACTCATTGCTGACGTAACGGATAACTTGTCAAATAAGATTTAAAGACTTTAAATAGATTATTAACGTTAATCCAGAATACATTCTACATCAATAATTTGTGAATCTAATCTTAATTAGATCTAATATACATTTGAGAAGATATGTTGATGTTTCAATAGTTGTATCGCATGTACCGTTGACACATGTGAAACTGACCTTGACACGATTTGGTTACAATATGACGTCGACTCACGTTAGATTTCGTGGCCACACCACTTTTGAGATCTCCTTTTTCGAAAAAATGTGGAACGGTTAGGGCAATTCATTCACTCGGCCAGGTAGATTGAGCAATCACACATAAGTCTTAGTCATTTCATATGTAAAAAGCAGCAGTTATTTGTCGAAACGGGCGAGCATGTGGGACAACTGGTAGACAAGAAATTGCGGCATAGCTCTGATGCGAACGTGCCTTGTCGATTACTTCGGGCATGGCCATTCAATGTTTACGTTTTGAACGTCCTGCCCATAAATTTTCATATTGTAGAAGCTGCTTTCGGGTGTCAAGTGAGACCCTACTACAGTTACCTAAACGTATTGCCGTTCCTTGTCATCATGGTCAGTTAAACCATGACTCTGCAACTCGCCTTGCCAGCATCGACTCAGTTCAGTCGGGGAGTGATTGGTGTAACGACGCTTACTCCGAAATATCTCCATCAGCATTTATACTCACATAATAAAGAAACGCAACGCCAGCTTTATACTCACATTAATTTTACTTACTCTCAGTCAATCTATCAATACACGACAGGATCAGACCGGCCAGGCTCCTCAATAAATGGGGAGAACTTAGAACGATCGAGATTCGACTCGGTCGACTGCAAACCGCGCTCTCCTCTCCTAATGCTGACGGTATCATTTTAAAGTATTCGGGCCTGGTCTGTCTTTGTCACATGTCATTGAATAAGGACAATATCAGATCATGAGCTCGTGTTTGTGTCGTGTTCGGAAAATTACCTGTACCTACTAGCCGATTAAAGATGTCTTTTGATTAATTGGTGACAACACCACCGAAGCTATCCCGAAATATCCTGTAACTGTCATCGCCCTATTGATTTCCTGCTTGTTTGCGCCGACACTTCGGCTTTCTGTCTCCATCGTTTTTAAAGCTATAACCATATAACCATCAATTTAAAGGTTGATTTTTGTTATAATTTTCTACGGTTTTTGGTATGCATTTTTATGTGTTAACAATATTGAGAGCGCCAATGTGCACGCGCCACAACGCCATACGTCACATGCCCCAGCATTGGAAGTGACGTCATTACTATGTACCCGTGTTCAGCTATGAATACATCATCGTTCTTTTTGCTTAATGTTCCTCCCAGTTTAGGTGCGGGTCGTACAAGTACCTTAGCATTATGTATACAGTCTTACAAATACACTAAACATAGTACATTCTGTGATTGTACAAGATAAGTGATAACCAATTTTGTATGTATAAATATTATCAAATACACATTATGATGCTCCTCAGAAATTGGAATGCATTATGATAACACGACAGGTTCGTATATCCAACGACCGCCTCCGTGGTCTAGTGGTAGAGTGTCCGCCCGGAGGGTCTGGGGTTCGATCCCCGGCAGCATCATATACCAAAAGACATTAAAAAAGGTCCTTGTTGTTACCCTGCCTGGCGTTCGACATTAAGGGGCTAAAACAAGGACTGGTTTGCTCGGAGTCAATATACTGTGTCGATCTGAGTGGGGTATTCATGTTAAACTGCAGCATTGTATCCCAGTGGGCTATCACTATTAATCGTCGCCAGTCAGGACCAGTACAAGCAGCCATACACACACACACGTACAAGCACGTCGCTATAAGTGCAATAATCTTGAAAGCGACGTTAAACGCATTTCGCATCACCTCGTATTTCCAACATTCTGCCATAGATATTATATCTACAAATTAGTGATGTAAAATAATCTATGGCAAGTCTCAACTTTTATTTGATATCTGAAATGTTAGCAATGATTAAACACTATATTGTTTTCCTTCAATGAGGTTACATTCAGCAATTTTATTTGTGTAGGCTATTTGACGGTCAGTTATTTCCCGCCGCTGTGAATTTGTCTTCTGGACAGATGCGCGTGATTTGACCTCACGTGCATGGATGACGTCACGTCAAACAACTGATCTAATGTTGTGGTCGTTTCATGGATAGACGTGGTTTCAGTTTCTAAATAATAATATTCTCCGAACTAGAGAGTAGATCTTCTACATCGCGAATGGGAAGATTTCCATTCCGACGAGTAAATGAGACCGTTTATCACTTGACTAACACTGTTAGAATATTTGGCGCACTTATCTAATTTTGACATGTTGACATGTGCTTTTTATGTATGTTTGAAGGCTTGAGATGCCAAGAAAATAATGTACATATAGTTGAGTAAGGTAATGGATTTTTTTACAGTGAGAAAGCTGTCAAAATGGATCCAATATTAAACAGCCCCTTTAATATTCAAGCCTCATATATTAGAATCTCGAATGGTTCAATTAACAACATAAACAGTAAAAGTAATTAGATCTAATCACGATATATAGATGATGGATTTCTGAATGACAACATGTTTTCAATGTAAATGTGATTTCGTTTTGATGTTTTAAAAAGTTTTCATTACGTTTGCTTTCACGTGCACTGTGCATATCGAAATTATCAAATTCTTCGATCAGTGACATACGTATTTAGTAATAATTACTAAGGTTTTATTACTGAAAACCATTTATATTTTAAAAAATTGCTAGGTTTTCTTTCTAAGTTCAATATCAAGAATCTATTTTTCCTTTTATGACAAATATAATTCCATTGATCTACGGTCATAATCTATTTTAAACTTTTCCTTTTGTAGAATGGGATGACATGGGAAACTGCACTGGAATCAAGTATGTCCTTGAATGCACATGTATATACCTAGGTGTGAAATCGTATTTATACAACAATATGAAAGAAAAAGTTGTATTTCATGGACTGGCCATGCTTCAAGTATATTTTGAGCAAATGTCTAAGGAAGACAGCCAATTGTGAAATACAAGCCGAGACGAGAGTGTGTGTTTTCTGGTTGTCATAGTGAAGCATTTGTTCAGAGTTTTGAGCACATGAACTGTATATTCATAATTAAGATTGAAGACAACTTTAATCGAAGTATACTCTTAAAAAAAGGAAACGCAAAGCCAGATTTTTGTGAGGTAGGAAAATACATTTATACGAGGAACCCCACAAGGTATTGTGCCAAAATGTTGTGGCGAGAACACTTGGTGGTTGTAGTCATCTCAATTATCGGAACATAGGAAAAGTCCAAGATGAAGGTCAGCTACCACCAATAACGCGTATGTCCCCCGTTGGAATCGATAGCATAGACAATCCCTGTGTAGTGTTTCGAGCCTCAGGCGAGACAGAAACCTATGATTGTGGGTTCGAATCCCAGTTCGATCGAATTATGTTTCTAAGTTTGCCAAAATCAAAATTTAAAAAAGCACGTGTGTGCCTGGAAGAAAATTTGGATACCTTGAAGCATTGCCAACAAAAACAGTCTCTAAGAAAATCTGTAGGCACCCAATGATATGAAATAACTCAATGACTCTCTGATTGATTGTGGACGTCGGAAACAAGGCGTCGAGCAGTTGTTAATGTGAGCTGGCTTTAAATCATTTGATGAATTATAACAAAACATGTCAAACGGTCTTTTAATACGATTTATTATCGAACTGTTCCCCATTTTGAACCGTAAAGGTAGAATGGGTTGGTTCACTGCAGCTACTGTGCCGTGTGTCGAGAAAAAAAGTTTCCACCAAATGACTTTTTCCCACCGTTTTGGGGTCCACCGAGTACTTCGTTTCCTCTGCAGAGTAGCCCTTTCCATAATACGAAACTTTGGAAAAGAAAAGACAAGAAAATAAACATTGTTTTTTTCTGATTACAGTGATTTTGAATGATCATTGAGCGTTAATTTATTTATAGGACCCCGTTTATTCTCCGACGTTACACGTTCGTTAAAAAATGGAGTTATTAATTGCATATTGGAATGTTGCCTTCAACTATATGTTCGTTTAGGGTCGACTTTTTGTTATTGCAATACTATTTTGAGTTTGTAATAACTCTTACAATAATACATACCCTTATTATCTTCTCCTATCACGTGGTGTATACTTCTCACTTCCTGGGGTCGTCGTCGGTATCATCGGTGTCCTTTTCTCTCTTCCAACGCTCATCGTCGTTGGTATCATCATTCTCGCTGCTGTCATCAGTATCATCGGTGTCTTTTTCTCTCTTCCTATGAACATCGTCATCGGTGTCATCAATATCATCGGTATCATCGGTATCATCGGTATCATCGGTGTCTTCTTCTCTCTTCCTATGAACATCGTCATCGGTATCATCAGAGTCTTCTTCCCTCTTCCTACGACCATCATCATCATCATTGGTGTTATCAGTGTCTTCGGTATCAACTGTGTCTTCTTCTCTCTTCCTCTGAACATTGTCGTCAGTATCATCAGTATCATCGGTATCATCAGTGTCTTCTTCTGTCTTCCTTCGCTCATCGTCATCAGTACCATCGTCATAATTGGTATCATCGGTGCCTTCTTTTCTCTTCCTACGCTCATTGTCATCAGAATCATCAGTATCAACACTGTCTTCTTTTCTCTTCCTACGCTCATCATCAGCATCATCGGTGTCTTCTTCTCTCTTCCTATGCTCATCATCATCGATATCATTGGTGTCTTTTTCTCTCTTCCTACGCTCATTGTCATCAGTATCATCAGTATCATCGCTGTCTTCTTTCTTCCTATGCTCATCATCGTCGATATGATTGTCATCATCAGTATCATCAGTGTCTTTTTCTCTCTTCCTACGCTCATTGTCATCAGTATCATCAGTATCATCGGTGTCTTCTTCTCTCTTCCTATGCTCATCATCGTCGGTTTCATTGGTGTCTTTTTCTCTCTTCCTACGCTCATTGTCATCAGTATCACCAGTATCATCGGTGTCTTCTTCTCTCTTTCTATGCTCATCCTCATCAGTATCATGGGTGTCTTCGTCTCTCTTCCTTTGAACATTGTTGTTGGTATCATCAGTATCATCGGTATCATCGGTATCATCGGTGTCTTCTTCTCTCTTCCTATGAACATCGTCATCGGTATCATCGGTGTCATCTTCTCTCTTCCTTCCCTCATCATCATCGATATCATCGTCATAATCAGAATCACCGGTGTCTTTTTCTCTCTTCCTACACTTATAATCACCAGTATCATTAGTATCATCAGTGTCTTCTTTTCTCTTCTTATGCTCATCATCGTCAGTATCATCACAATAATCAGTATCATCGGTGTCTTTTTCTCTCTTCCTACGCTCATTGTCATCAGAATCATCAGTATCATCGGCATCTTCTTTTCTCTTCCTATGCTCATCATTGTTGGTATCATCATCATTATCGGTATCATCGGTGTCTTGTTCTCTCTTCCTATGCTCATCATCGTCTGTATCATCGTCATAATCAGTATCATCGGTGTCTTCTTCTCTCTTTCTATGCTCATCCTCATCGGTATCATCGTCGGTATCATCGTCATAATTGGTATGGTCTGTGTCTTTTTCTCTCTTCCTACGCTTATTGTTATTAGTATCATCAGTATCATCGGTGTCTTCTTCTCTCTTCCTATGCTCATTGTCATCGGTATGATCGTCGGCATCATCGTCATAAACGGCATCATCGTTGTCTTTTTCTCTCTTCCTACACTCATCATCATCAGTATCATTAGTATCATCAGTGTCTTCTTTACTCTTCCTATGCTCATCATCGTCGGTATCATCATCATAATCAGTATCATCAGTGTCTTCTTCTCTCTTCATACGCTCATTGTCATCAGAATCATCAGTATCATCGGTGTCTTCTTCTCTCTTCCTATGCTCATCATCGTCAGTATCATCATCATAATCGGTATCATCGGTGTCTTTTTCTCTCTTCCTACGCTCATTGCCATCAGTATCATCAGTATCATCAGTGTCTTCTCTCTTCCTACGCTCATCATCAGTATCATCGGTGTCTTCTTCTCTCTTTCTATGCTCATTGTCATCAGTATCATCGGTGTCTTCTTCTCTCTTCCTGCGCTCATCGTCGTAAGTATCATCGGTGTCTTTTTCCCTCTTCCTTCGCTGATCATCGTTGGTATCATCATTATAATCGGTATCATCGGTGTCTTTTTCTCTCTTCCTACTCTCATTGTTGTCCGTATCATCCGTGTCTTCTTCTCTCTTCTTTCGCTCATCATCGCCGGTATCATTGGTGTCTTCGTCTCTCTTCCTACGATCATCATCAACGTTATCATCGGCGTCTTCCTCTCTCTTCCTGCGTTCCTCGTCGGTATCACTTGTATCATCGCCCCTGCTCTCCTGCCCAACCCCTCCTTCTCTGTCCACTATATCTTGACCAGTGCTTCTTTGTCCAGGAGAATCTGTGTCCTTAGCATGATGGAGATCGTTTGTTCCTGCCAAGTATGTGGTTGATATTAAGTTCATCCTAACAATGAATGGCAACTCAAAGTAGATACATAGCTGATGGACTAGTTCCAAAGTTTGATGTCGGATAAAAAGCATTTTTCGAAACCGGGCCTTCGGCGTGACGAGCGAACGCTTTAACCACTAGGCTACCTGACCGCCACTGCTATATGAGACACTGAGAAATCAAGTAAGTTGACTTTGTCGGATTGAAAATTTGCAGGGACACTGAATTTAAGGAATTAAGATTAAGATCGAACTTTTGAACTGGTCCCTAAAATGGTCATTAGTTCTTTGGGCAGAAGAGTATAAGCCTGTGTTTTGTTCTAGCAAAACAGACCCTCACTGTCATGATTTTGCAGAGAGCTTTACGCAACTTTTAATAATATTCCAGCAACTTCACGGCGGGGGACACCTGAAATTGGCTTCACACAATGTACCTATGTATGGAATCGAACCTGACATCCTTCATGACCAGAGAATGCTTTAACCACCGGGCTACTCCACCGCCCTTTTAAGATCTGACTGCTATTGAAATCCTGCGGTTATTTATCATTCGGTAAAGTGAGGCCTTTTCATGCCTTTGAGTGAGTGAGTGAACGCTATTTTAGTCATGTGGCTTGTAGAGGGAGGATCAGCTGAAATGTCTTAGACTCTTACCACTTTGAAAAACCTACGAGTAAATGTATGGTGTTGAGAAACCTAGAATCTTAAATCTGGGATTCGAACCAAGGTTCAAAGGCATGGATGCGATGCTACTAACGGCGACGTCGGGATTCGGAGTTTCGCTTGTAATTATCAAAAATAATTACATGTAGCATGTATGCATAATAAGGTTCCTTTTGGCTACGGGATATGTCAAATTAAGTTTGGAATATTGGTGAGCAAGTACATGTATGGCTAAATGAGTGAATGAGGGTTCATTTGTCGATCGTCAAGAACATTCTGAGGATCACTAGTCTATGTCCAATGATGACGTTTTTGACCACATGTATCAACGGTTCGTAAGGACATCACCTAAGTTCAACGATTTGCTCATGTTCAAAAGTTAGTAAAACGCTTCATGAAAACCTCTAAAACAAGTCTTCTAAATACATTTAGCCTGACTTGCGAATTTAGTGTTCTTATATGTCGCAACAGATGTTGAAATATACAAAGTTTAACTCTCATTCATATGAATTTCACAATGATTTATACCTCAATTCTGAAAATATCCCATGGGCAAAAATCGACCTTATCATACCTCGTCCTTTCAAAATGTAAAACGTTTTGAAATTTCTATTCAAAAGCACAAAAGTACTCACCCCGGAAGTGAAGCCTTTCCCTGTTGAAGCAGGCAACAGAAGCTACACCTGCAAATGCAAATAAGATGATGTAAAAAAAGTTAATAAAAATAGACAAGATCAATTGTCTAACTTGAACATAATCTAACGTAAGAGTGAGTGAATGATTGAGGTCACTGCACATATTGTCGGCATTCGTCAGAGCAAAAAACAAAACAAACAAACTTGGACATGGCGATGTTGATGATGATCATGTTGATCATTACATTTAAAGAAAACATGTTGACTGATATACCCCGACTTAAACGACGGGAGGGAGGGGGATATATTGTCGTCAGTATGTCAGTCTGTCTATGTCTCCGACACACTCAGACGCACACAACTGTTGCGGCATGTATGATTTATACAGTATTTCTCCCATAACAGGGCTCCATCTCCAATCGCCAGCAGTGGTTTATTCGCAGTGGTTTATCTTTATTCACGTAATCCGATTGGATGGCTGCGAGTGGAGCGCTGTGTCATCGCGTTATGATTGGCGAGCTAAAAATAATTGATGGCACTATTTTCGGATCGGGGATTCCTGAGGTCGTCTAGTACAGGAAATCCCCAGCTGTCAAAACATTACCGTAGAGACGATGTTTCCATCTCTGAAAGTTGGTGACCAAGAGAAGATTTGTGGGGGAGGAAGGGTTATGATATGTGGTGATGTATCAGAGAATTTCGGCTTCCCAATGTACGAGACATTCAGTTGCAGAATGTGAAGACGGTAACCGAAACGAGATACAGCATCGATATAACGGGACCAGGCGGGACCTTTTCTGGGCATTTTCAAGACTAATAAAGCAGCTAATGAGACGGTTAATTGATTCATGTGAAAATACTGATCAAATAGTGAAACATACCCTATTGTTTTTGGTAATTTTAAAAAATAACCATCAACCACATAAGTTAATGTCACGTTATAGCGAAGTGTTGATCATCATACATTTTACAGAATAACTTCTTTGATAGGCATTTAGAAGTTGGAGTACTAAGTGAGGATAAGAAATTTATGGATGAACAACTTCTTTATTACAATTAAGAGCGACGTTTCGGTGTAGGTTCTAACACCGTTATCAAGCAAGTGATTATACAGAGTGCAGTAAGCAAGTATATATACACGTAGGAGGCAATGTTTATACAGTAGGGTAGATATTGTTATACTGGCGTAGAGAAGCCTGTTGTGTACACACAAGGGCAGTGATGATAACCATCGGTGAAGTCAGTGCCATGAAACAAAGGATGAAGCCAGTAATGTAAACAACGGGATTATGGCTGATTGGGGTCTTTGGGGTCTTTGATGAGTTGACGGTACGCCAGGGGTATGTAATAGCCTTGGTCAAGGTTGATTGAGGGCTGAAGTCTTTTGATGTTGATGGCTTCTTGTAGTTTCCTGATCTTGAAGTCTTTGAGGTTGGTGGTGAGGGTTGTGACTCTCTCCCACTGGATGCTGTGGCTTGGGTTGTCACGGATGTGGTCTGATAGAGCTGATTTATTACTGAGCTCCAAGGAGCTCCAAAGATGACTCTAAATCAGCTCTATCAGACCACATCCGTGACAACCGAGTGCATGGTAATGAAAACGCCGATAAGCAGCTAAACTATCCCTCAAAATCCCAGAAATAAGCTTAAACTTACCCATCTCAAAATCAGAAATTAAAAGTGTAAACAAGCAAAAAATCACAAAAAAATGGCATAACCTATATCTAAACTCAAATAGCCAAATCAAAAAAGTGCTCAGCAAACCACTAACCAAACCAAAAATTCTCCATCCATCAAAAAAAATCGACAGAGTAATCACTAAACTCCAAACAGGACACACCAACCTAAATAACCACCTAAATTTTTTTTTAAAACACACTACAGGTAACTGCCCACACTGCAAACAACCAGAAACCCCAGAACACGCACTCATCCACTGCACACACTACCTAACACATCGAACCACATTACAAACCACCCTCAATCTAAACAAGGCTCTAACTCTAGAAGCAATACTAAACCCACAAAATAAACTAGAAAACTCCAAGGCCTTAGGCGTATTCTTAATAAAAACGGAACTAATAAAACGCATCTAAAAACACAATAACCTACCAAATCAAAATCACATAAACAAACAAACATCCACCATACCCAGCTCCCTTAGTTCTCCTCCCCAATCCCATCGGCATCTATTCCAAATCTCAAAATTCCCAAATTCTATATAAGCAACCCCTAAAACCCCCCTCTTGGGTTGCACAGACCACCTTCGCCCCTTTCGGAAACACATTAAATGGCCTGGCCGGGCCCGTGTGCGAACTACGCATCAGTCGGAAAGCGCACGTTAAATCTCCAAAGTAAGTAAGTAAGTAAGTAAGTCTGAAAATCACTTGCTTGATAACGGTGTTAGAACCTACACCGAAACGTCGCTCTTAATTGTAATAAAGAAGTTGTTCATCCATAAATTTCTTATCCTCACTTTTTACAGAATAGTTTAATGAACATACTTAGCAAAATATAAGTAGTATTTGAATAAGGGTCATATAGATAAATATATACATGTACATACATTAGATCAATAAATAAACAGCAATATTTTGATGTCTAACAGGTGCAACACTTGTATATAATAAATTTTTAACTCGTGTATCAAAGATCTATTCCCACACTACCCATTTCATAAGATAAACCATTTCTGGTTTCTGGTCGTAGATTAATATCTTCACTTAAATTTGTGTTTCCAATTAAAACAGATTTAAGATCATATCCATTCTTTACTACCGTAAACTGAGGTTGACAGCGACAATATATGCCGAAACAATCTTTTATTTTCGAACCCATGAGCAAAGGGTTCACATAATTGAGCATACATTTATCCTGACATTGTGACGCTGTGTTAGCTTTACCGTATAAGATAAATTATGTACTTACATATGAGCAGCAGAAAGGATAGCGCAACTTTGGTACTCATCGTGAGCTCCATGAACAATCCTCGCCAATGACTGGACAGATCCGAGGACCCAGCTTTATAGCACGAGCAAACATCCCTTTAACATTTGTGGAGTGACATGATAAACGTGGCATTCACCTTGGTAATATGTAATAGGGCAAGGGGCGGTTACTTTCGGTGGTATAGTTTTCATTTTTCAAGGTGAAGACGTGAACCTAAGAAATGTTGAAATATTTACATCTGTAATATTTAATGATATATGAAATATTATTTACAATTAAGGACCACTTATTTCACATTTTCACAACTGCCACTTTTGCCTTTTGTATTGCAGGTATCTTTCTGTTGGTTGTAACCTCTTTGGAGTTTTTACTCTTTCCAAGTAAGACCTGATCCCGGGTATGAGGTTTTACCTGTTTCTTGTAAGACCTGGCAGGAGTTTTTATTTTATTCTTGCAAGCCCTAGCTACGCGGTTTTACTTTTTGCCAGTAAAATCTAATGATTTGAGGAGCAGATGGAATTTGGACTCAGTGTTTCGAACGTCCACTGTTCTCAATTAGGAGACAAAAAAATAGAACTTTTTCATTATAAATAAAAATAACAAACAGCAGATATTGTTGCGTAAGGGTATGCATTCCCGTGTACCGACATTTAATATATATCACTTCCATTTGTAGTTTATCTTACTAATACTAGTAGTCATGGAGTGTATTAGTGACACGACATTAACAACAGTCGCAGGTGTCCAGATGTTCACGATTTGACCCCTC